AAGTTGGACAGCGAGCTGGTCCGCACTCGGCAGCGGGAGGCGGAGGCGGCTCAGCGCGCGGCGGCCGCCTCCGCCCAGCTGGCGGCCACCCGGCAGGAGCTGGGGCAGCGGGAGCAGGCTCTGGAGGCGGAGCAGCGGCGGGCGGAGCAGCTCAGTGCGGAGAAGGCGGTGGCGGTGCGGGAGTCCCACCAGATGCGGCACCAGCTGGACGAGAGCAGGAAGCAGGTAGCAGGACGGCTGGGGGGGGGGGAAGGGGGGGGTTAAAGGGGGAGGGGTTGAAGGCCAGAAGACGGTAACTTAGGCGGCGGTAAAACACAACACAGCGAAGTCAGGAAAGAAAGAGGCAACACACGATTGGAAAGAGGCAATGACCGCGGGCTCCAATTTCCCCCAATGGTTCCCCAGTGGCAACCCCCCCCCTCCTCGCACACCGGGGTTGGTGGGTTTTGTGCGCAAGGGTTGTGAGGGGTTGAAGCGGGTGTGAGTGTAAAAGGGGGTGTGAGTGCCCCGGTGTGTTTGTTTGTGTGTGTGTCTCTGAGCCTCTGAGCCCCATTCGCCGCAATCTCATCCCATCCCCCCCCCTGTCCCCAACACTCAATTGTACAATGTACGGCATCCCATCGTACGACCCCCAGGCCCAGCAGTTGGAGGTTGAGGTTGCTTCCACCCGCAGTCAGTTGGAGGTTGTGGAGGTTGAGGCGCGGGCGGCGGTGGAGGAGCTGGCGGCGGCCCGGTCTGCGCTGTCTAGCAGCGAGGCGGCCCTGGGCGCCACCAGCGGGCAGCTGGGGGAGGTGGAGAGGCAGAGAGCGGCGCTGATGCGTGACATGCAGGTGGGCTCCGGGGGGAGGGAGGGGGGGAGGGGGGGTTTAGGGTTTCGCCACAACCCCCCCTCCAACCCCCAGTGGTGGGGCGGAGGGGGGGTTGTGGTAAGAGGGAGGAATGGTACAACAGATAGACCCCATGGTGCTTGGTGGGGGGGACCATTTGATTTGTGGAGGTGTACGACATACACACAAGGACTTCAGTCCAGTTCAGTATCGTACAAGTCCTCCTGGTTTCGCTCCCTCCGCTATTGCCTCTCCTGCCAGTAGCGCCACTACTGCCACCCCCCTGTCCCTCTCATGTGTGTGTGTGTGTTTTGCCGTGCCCTTCTCTGCTCCTCCAGGCGAGTCTAGGGCGGCTGGGGGACTTGAAGCAGGCTCTCAATCTGTCCAAGCAGCAGGCAGGGCAGTTCGAGGAGGCGGCGCGCAAGGCGGAGGCTGAGGCGGCGGCCGCCCGGCAGAAGGTGACGCAGCTCACTGCACAGGCGGCTCAGGCGGCGTCGCGATCGGAGGTAAGCGCGCCGGGCGGGCTGGACATATGCATGTACGTATGTATGTACGTGTCTCTGTCTGTATGTATGAGCGTCTGTTGTGCATTAATGTGAAGTGCGTGACGTACGTACGAATGTTTTACCTCATCCACATACACACAACCCGCATCCACACACACACACACATACACCTTTCCCCCCTCTTCTCCCCCCTCTCCCCCCTCTCAACCCCCCCCTCCAAAGGCTGCGGAGACGCGGCTGGCGGAGGTTCAGGCGGCCCTGGCGGCGGCGGAGGGCGCCCGGGCCGCCTTGCTGCGCGACAGCTCCGTGGCCCTGGGGGCCCAGGGGGATTTGAAACAGTCCGTGAACGCGGCGAGGGCGAGGGTGTCGAAACTTGAGGCGCAGGTGGGGAAGTGGGGGGCAGGGAGGGGGGGGGGAGAGGGGGGCCCGTGCTCGCGGCATAGGAGGGAGGAAGGGGGGAGAGGAGGGGGGTTTATTCACCACCACACCACCGCGCAGCTCCACATCACGTAGGGTTCCCGGGGGCGGCGGCGGCGGCGTCATCGGTACTCGAACAGATGAGCCGCTGAGCAGTTGAGCAGCAGCAGCAGGATTTATCTCTTTTGTGGCTGTAGCGGTTATTTGACTGGATGAGTGTGTGTGTTTGCGTACGACATGGGTCATGGTCTTACGTGAGCCAGTCCCCGCCCCCTCCTCTCTGATCTGTACAGCTAACGGCCGCCCGGGGGGAGGCGAGCGCCATGTCAGCGGCGTCGAAGGAAGCTTCTCGGCGGGCGGCAGCGGCGGAGGCGGCCCTGCGGGACAGCGAGGCGCGTCGTACGGCATCGGAGGCGGCGGCACGCGCTGCTGAGCAGCAGCGTACGGCAGCTCTGTCGGCCGCTCAAAATGCCATCGGGCGGGAGGGGGATCTTAAGCAGAAGCTGAACCGCGCTAACCAGGCGGTGCGCTTGATGATGAGGGGGAGGGGGACGAGGGAGAATGTGGGACGTGGCTGTGGGAAGCGCTGTATCCTGATTGCTGTTAGGGTAGCCTTGATCTGTGCGTCTGTTTGTCTGTCTGTCGTTTTGCTGCTGAGTTCACCCTGGTCCTGATCATGATGTGATTCCGCCCCGCCCCGCCCCTCATTGCTGCGTTACAACACCTCTGTTCCCCCCGGGCCCCCCTCCTCCCCCCCTCACAAATACACACACACCTGGAAACCCACCGTACGTCCGTCCGTACATACGTCCATCAGCGCGTGTGTGTATTGACCCTCCTTCCCCCCCTTTTCTTCCCCCTCAGGGCTCCAAGCTGGAGCAGCAGGCGACTCAGGCCCGTGCGGCCCTGGAGGCGGCAGAGGGTCGGAGGGTGCGGGCGGAGGCGGCGGTGGCGGACATGCAGGTGTGTGTGTGTGGGGGGGGGGGGGTTTGGGGGGGGGAAATGGGGACCAGAGGGGGGAAAGGGGAAGGGAAGGGGAGGGGAAGGGTAAATCAGTAACGGCAACAGGAATAGGGGGGAGGGGGGCGAAGGAGGAGAAGGGTCAGAAGAACCCCAAGTCACACACGCCCTCCCCCCTTCCCGGGGCCCCCCGTTGCCCCCTTCCCGGGGCCCCCGTTGCCCCCCCTTCCTCTCCCCCCCCCTTCCTCTCCCCCCCCCTTCCTCTCCCCCACCCTTCCTCTCCCCCACCCTTCCTCTCCCCCAATCAGAGTCAGCTGCGCACCTCGGAGGCCAAGTTCTCGGAAGCCGTACAGCGGGTGGCGGAGGCGGAGAGCCTCCTGCAGGTGGGGGGTTGGGGAGGTGGTGTTTGGGTTTGGGGGGGTGAGTGGGAGGGCCGGGGCGAGTGTGCGTGTGTGTGTTGGTGTGTGGGGGGGAGGAGGGTACGATGACGATCATGGTTTGTTGGATGTGTTGTGCGCCTCGTGTGTGTATATGTTGCCGTACCAACGAATTTATTGTTTCTGACACCCCCTGTCACCTGTAGGCTGCGGAGGAGGAGGAGGAGAGGTCGCAGCAGCAGCAACACAACCACTTTAACAACCACGTTGGCAACCACTTTAACAACCACCTTAACAACAACAACAACAACAACAACCACAGCCCGGCGGGGCCGGCGGGTCGGGGGCCCGGCAGCAGCAGCAGCAGTAGCAACGGCTTTGCGGTGAAGATGGCGCCTTAAAAGCTGCTGCCAACTGCGGTTTGTCGGGGGGTGGCGGTGGTGGTGGTGGTTGTGAAGTGATGGTGTGAGGTGATCATGGTCCGGACAAGCCATCCGCCCTTCAAACCAATCAGCAGCAGCAGCAGGAGAGCAGTAGTAGCACACCCAGACAGTTCTACATACAGACAGACAAACATTCACGTACTTTGTGAGGGTGAAGGGGGCCCATACACAGGAAGGGAGGGTCGCCGGGAGATCCGCCTTAACGAACTAACGAACCAACGAACTAATCAACCAACGGAGAGACACCGATGCAGATAAAGAGGAGGGAACAAGAGCGCGCCGGGACGGTGGAGGGGTTCCCGAGCTCGTCCAACCGTTTTTTGTTGTATGGGCTGCTGCTGCTGTTGTTATGAGACTTGGCTCGACATGTAGGATGCTTCTTGTCAGTGAAAGGGGGAGACCCCGGGGGAGAGCGCCCCTTCTCCCCTGTGGGGGTGTTTTGGGGGGGAGAGATGTCGGGGTGTGTGTGTGTGTGTGTGGCTTTAGCGGGTAGCCGCGGGGCTCATGTTTCCTTGGTGAGCTTGGGGGGGGGGGCGGTTTGTGGAGCACACGCCCTTACCGCTTGCCTAGACGGTTCTCGTTATACACACAGTTATGCACACGCACCTCTACGTAAGGGAGGTGCGGTGAGGTGCGGTGAGGTGAGGGCAGCAGTGGTGGTGGCAGTGGAGTACCTGTGGCGATTGCAGTGGTGGCAGTTTAGCGAGCGGAAATGATGATGATGATGATGGTGATGATGTTGGCCTGACGTTCCGTACGATGACGCCCTCTCCTCCTTCCTCGCTCCACACCTTTTGAGCGTATGGGGGGGGCCCGGAAGGGTTTCATGCGTACGAGGAGCACACGAAGGGCCGCTGCGGCATCATGGCTGTGATGGTACCGGATCGGATTGGTCGGGTCAGGCCAGGTCGGGTCGGGAAGGGAAGGGAAGGGGATCGAAACCGTCGAAGCTTGATTGTCATCGATTATTTGTCCGGGGTGGGGGTGGAGGAGGGAATATGCACATTTTTACATTCCTCCCCCTCCCCCTCCCCCCGTGTGTGTGCCCCGTGTGTTTTGCTCTTGTGAGGGGTAGTTGAGAGAGGCAGAGAGGGAGGGAGGGAGCGAGGGAGGGAGGGAGAGAAGAGAGGTGTGGGGAGGGAGGGCTTTCTTTACCCTCCCCCCCCCCCTCTGTTTGCGCACCACCGGACACCACCACCACATTGCATGTGAGGGAGGGATTTAGACGTCGGTGAGGGCGGGGGGAGGGGGGGAGGTGCCCCAACTCAGATATCTGTAGCTAGCAGCAGCAGCAGCAGCAGTAGCTGGTTACTATATATGACAGGTTCTTGCGGCTGCTGCTGCTGCTGCTGCTGCTGCTGCTGCTGTCGCTGATTTTGTATTCGTTTTGGCACCACACCACACCACACCACCGGCG